CTTATCATGTTGAACCAAGAATATTTGTAATTCTTGGGATACGTGTGGAGTTCATTTGTCAGACAAACTATATAGAATTATCGATAGTTTTTTCTGAACATCACTTCATACTCAATTTTACCGATCAATTTACCGACCATTTCCAATCAATATACCGACGGGTCAACATAAAACCTGTTTTACCGATGACTGTTTTCTAAAACGTACGGGGTGTCGCACCCCTCACCTTCTCCCCCACTCGGTACGGCGGTACGCCCCTGGATATGGACATTCCATTTATCCTCAGCAATTCTTGATGTTTATATTTATTCACAATGTAACTTTCGAAAGTCCTTAAATCTGTGTTTTAAGGATTAATTCGACTTCACGTTTGTTGACACAGCTCGCCTAAGTCGACTTGTAAATGGAGTCCTTCTTCCTGAGAACTGTCTGAAGTCTACGCCCCTCCCCCGTCTACGGACTACGGTCAAGAATTGTAAAATTGTTTCGAAAGCGTGACATCATCGTAATATTATAATAGGTCATTATGAGGTCATATGAAAACTTCAGATTGATATTGATGTATAACTACCTGAAAAATACCTTCGTTGGTTACTAACTTCCCGAACCAAGGGCCTCGAAAGTCGAAACGTCAACGTTCTCCTTGCATTTTTCAGGCAATTGCATCCATCCCCATCAATCAGAAGTTTTATTCTTATTAAATATTGGCACAGGTCAGGAATCAGGATATTATAAATTTTGGTAACACGGAAATGAAACTGATATAAAGCTTTTCTTTCAAGTACATATATAGCCGCTAGCTTCTGTACTCGCCCGGTTTCACGTGCGGTACTCAAGTCAAAAACTTTTAATGTGATAATGGGAGTAATTCTGGTTTTTACTTCCGGATTAGCATGGGCGTACCGGAAGGAAAAATTTAGGGGGGCGGCAAGAAATTTGCCCGACTTTTCCGGATTTTGCCCGACAAGTACCGAAAAATTTTTTCCGGAATTTGGTTTGGCGACCTCCCCCCCCTGTGGATTAGCACATATTGAATCAGACAAGAATGCTCAAAAAGTGTCACATTTGCAAGGCTTAGATTTACACTTAGATTGCACAATATTCCAAGGCTTAGATTTACTGTATAATTAAAAAAAATACAGTATTTAACAAATATAAAACATTTTCCGTGTTGATATACAGTTATATCAACACGAGTGGAAATTGGGAAAACGAGAAATTGTGTGGAAACACGACGCCCGAAGGGCGGAGTGTTTTCATACAATTTCGAGTTTTCCCAACTTCCACGAGTGTTGATATAACTATATATCAATACGGAAAAATGTTTATATTTGTTTTATAATATAGCAATGTCAAAAGCCCGAAGAATAAGAAAAATTTCCGTGTTTACAAGCGGCGGAAAATTTCCCGTGTTGACATGGAGTTATATCAACACGGCTCTTAGCCAATCAGCGTTCAGAATTTACAAATGCTATATTATAAAAATTCTTAAAAACCAATATCCCCACTCCTTCGCTCGCGGAATAATTAAATAAAACCGGAATTCGGCTCCAGTTTCCTGTTGGGAGCGCGCGGTCATGACAAGACCTTTGTAAACAATCCAATATCTATAAATCTATAACGAAGAACTATGACATTTTACAGATATTGTTTGGCTTCTTTAAACTCTAAAGTCGTCCACAAGTGGACACCAAATGGTTTACATACACGTGCCAGATTTTGAGGCTCTTTTTGAAGAACGAAACGGCAACATCCTTCGCGTTTTGTCATGCAGAATAGCGATTCTGTCAAAGTGCCGATTTTACTAGTCACGGCCAACGTTGGTTCTCTCTTTGAGGACGTGAGTATCTTGTTTCTAGCTGTAGAAAAACCGTATCTACACTAAAATGTGTAATTATATACTTAAATATATGTTCTATATAGGTCAAGAACCTTTTGTCAGGATGGATACGCGAAATACAGCAAGTGAGTCATGTCATAATCGAATAACTATGGTCTTAATTAATTAATCTTGACATACTCAGTGTTTGTTTAGCTAATTTTATCTCAAATGAGTAAAAATATTGTATATTGAACTCCATTCTTTTTCAGAACATGCTTGATTCAAAATTTTGTTCTGAAAAGTAACAAATACACATAATCTGGCTGTTCTAATGTATTAATGAAAAAGTGACCAATTTTTGTTCTGATACAGAAAATTGCCGCTCTTGGTCATCCGAAATTTATCGCATTCCACTTTCAAGAAATCGGTGGAAAGTTCCCGCAAGCCGCTTCAGAGAGCATTCATCAGATAACAAAGTAAGAACATCAAGATTTTTATTTCTTTATGTCGGCTATCTGCATTTGGTTTCATAATACATTTTTTTGCCTGTATTAATAATGAATTCTGTGATGCAATTATATAAATACTAATGTAGAGATCCTCGTAATTTATTCGTATTTTTCTACAGACAGTTGTTGGGGAGTCAAGTCCTGTCAGATTACACTGCAGTTGTTGGATATTTTGATCAAGATTACAAAAACGATGAGAAATTCACAGTGAGCATTTTTCTGGATCAATTTCTTTACGAAATCGAGCAGCTGTTTGCTTTGTATTCAAAATTTTGCAATGTGAAATGATGCCTTCCACCCACTCAAATTATGCATAGCTTATGAAAGCTGCAATTTGTTTTTCAATTATAATGGCATTTCATTTCCTCAGGTGCAAATTTTGATTTCATCTTAAACTGTGAAATGTTTACTATTGATCATTGAAAAACTAAATACATTCATTTCATACTTTTTTCAATAATCCTGACAGATTTCTCCACTCACTGCCAAAATTTACATAAATTAAGACAATTAAACCATTGAACTTCCAGTGTTTACATTGATATGCCAATATCAAAGGGCCATCTCTCATATCATATGTGCCATTAGAGAATATCTTTCCCTAGGACCCAGTTCTGTACAACTTTTCCTCTGTCTGGTTGTTTTTTCCAAGTACAGTACCAAAAAAAATTTTTTTCACTGGAAAAATGGGATTAAATGGACCAGAAATTTTGCTCTTAGGAATGTCTGTTACTCTGTTCGGACAGGTGATTGCATGGAATTTGGACAAAATTTTGGCCTGGAAAATGAGATTGAAAGCCCTCTTTCACAATCCTAACCAATGATATGTCTGACACTTGAATAGCACAATCAAACATTTAAGGCCTATTAAAAAATATTAAAAAAAAAATTAAAAATATTTCTGTTTTTCATCCCACCCGCCCCTGAAAATTTGGCTGCCCAAAAATATTTTTTAAGTATTCTTGGTTTTTGTAATTATTAATGAACGATGTATATAAAAAGAAAAAAATAGATAAGTATAAAAAGAAAAAACATTCTGCCTGCCCGCCCACCCAAATTCTATTCCAAACAAATGATGAAAAACAGAAATATTTTAATAGGCCTTATTCTTGTTTTTTGTATATATGCTGCAGCTGTCGCAGATGGTTTAAAGCTTTTAAGGAAATATGAAATAATTGGGTTGCTTAGCTTGTATTACATTTTTTTATGTTATATTTATCTTTGTAGGCTCTTGGAGCACTCTTTCTTGTTCATAAATCTCTGAAGAATATTGCTATTTGGAATTATGCAGGTAGTTTCCTGTTTTTATTGTGCTCTGAATGGGTTAACATGCAAATTCTGTACATGTCTTATTTTCATGTATAATGTCACTAATGAGTTCTCGTTTATTGATGATTTCACCAAAGACGGCAGTGTATCATTGCAAAAAACGGTCATAAGTCAGTTCTCAAAAAATCCCCAAAATGTCCTACAATTTTTGAAGTGAAACCCTCCTTGATTTACACAATTAAAATGGTCAATCTATTTCAGATGGCAGATTTGAAAAGATAAAACAAGGGAGACAGGTGTGTGCTGGTTATAAAAGTTATTAGTCAATATGTACATGTACTATACATACAGTACTACCATGCACATTGTAAAATGACTACATTGTTACCAAGTTTGTACAATTATGTCTTAATATGTCATTTAGATTTTTATGCATGACTTGGACTCATTGGAGACACTAGAAAAGTTGAAATATCCCAAAAAATTTTTTCCACAGGTACAGTATGATACTTCAATAACTTCATGAACAATCAGTCTGTAATAAATTGGCTTTATTTGAGCAGAAAATGGCTGCTAAGAGATTGCAGTCTATAGGCATCAGTCTAAGTTATATAGAAAGTATAAATAATCGTGTATTGTATTAAATATTGTTCTAGATGAAATGGTCAAGGAAAGGATATTTAAAGACAAAATGGATGATATCTGGAATGTAAGTGTTACATAAATATAATTGTGCTGCTATTCCCTATTTATGATATATCTTAGTTGTTCAGCTATTCCCTATTTATGATAATGTATATTTAGCTGTATTGTTGCATAATTGTCTCTAACAATTGAATATTATTCTCATTTATATCAAAAGTCCAACAGGATTTCAAAAGGTCCCTAGCTCCTTTATATTATTGTATTTTAACTATATTTCCATTGTAAATATTTTTTGTGAGCAAATATATTCTATTCTATATTCTATTCTATATTCTATTCTATATTCTATTCTATATTCTATTCTATATTCTATTCTATATTTTATTCTATATTTTATTCTATATTCTATTCTGTATTCTATTCTATATTCTATTCTATATTCTATTCTATTAATATAGCATTGTGAATTTGATTAATATTCACTTGTTTCACGACCCGTCAAACTTGGTTTCTATGGAATCTGTAAGTATATCTTATTATAAGACCCTCCCACAGAACAGCCTCTAATCATCCAAGATTGAACTGTGCATTATATATTTTCTGAATATTAATTGATTACAGAGTCCTTCTGTATATGCTGGATACCGACGGAATGCATTCGAATATGTATTACATGGGTAAGAATGGAAATTAAATAATAAATAATTGTACATCCTTAATTGTGAAATTCTGTATATTATTCTTATGACATAAGATGACAATGTGGATAAGGCATCGAAGCTTTTAAAATATATATATATATATATATATATATATATATATATATATATATATATATATAATTTAAATTATAGTTTAGATCAAGATCCTGATCCCACTTTTGTGTTTGGTGATTTTAATTTTCGACTGGATCAGTTCAAGTTTCTAAAGGTAATATATTAACCATTAATTGAGCCTTAAATGTGCACATTAGAATAATACTTACATAGTAGAATAAGTAGTACATATGTAATGATTTGTTTGTGGTATTTTCAGATGGTATCGAAACATTGTTCTGTAAAGACAACTTTCAAAGATGGGGAAGAAGAACCATCAAAATTGGTTGTTGCTGAGAAAAAACACCCAGAGAAGGTTACTTACACACACCTTTACTGTAATTCATGAAATTCAACAGTTTTATTAAATGCATACATGCATGAGACCAGTGATTAGCTTGGGGCTAGGCTGTACCAGGTGTGCATGACGTCTGCCAAACTTTGAAATTGCCTCTTATGCTATGTGTCTTCATCATTCAGAAGTAATAAAATAATTAGTTCTGATCGTGCAACTTTGACTTTGTATTAAAATATTTTATGCAATTTTAAAGGTTCGTCTTGTCGTTGAACCATCCAAATTCTGTTTGGACCACCAACGTGTTCTTGAAAATAATGCTGCTAAACTTCACAAGTTTGACAAAGAACCTCAAGCTTTCAAGAAATGGCTATACGAGTTTCCTGTTGAATTTCTACCAACGTAAGCAAGAGTTTAATGCAGATTGATCCAGCTCTCAATAAATCAATTACACTTAATTTGAATATGTTTCAGAATTATGGCCTTAACATAAAAACCTTTTTATTAATTATATATTATGTGTTATTTTATTTCAGTTATCCATTCAAAGAAGATGTTGAAGTCACAAAGCCCTTGTACCTTGAAAAAAGGTTTGTTATGCATCATTTGTAATTTTTATTGTGAAATGGCTTAATGGCTTTATCCAAGATGCTGGGGCTGTCATGTATGTATCTATGACTTTAATTTGTTGGGTAGGGTAGTTCAGAATCAAAGCTTATTCTTTACAAAAAACTTATCTAGGTTATAGGCTATGAAAAAGGAAATACAAAACTTTCTTACTGTTGTATATTGCAATGAAGTTCACCAGCTGTTTACGGCAACATTGAATTTTCAGTAGAGATCTGACAAGGTTCTGAAGAAAATTCAATGACCAGTGAACATTATCACTATCCAGTGTATAATCCTTTGTACAACAGGCTCCTGTATGTTTGAGATATGATATATCCATTTTCTTGTTATGCAGATGCCCTTCTTGGTGTGACAGAGTTTTATTATCGCACAATACCAAGGAAATTATAATGGTAATTACCGGTTTTGAATTTTTTATGTCTTCGACTTTTTCACTACTGCAAGGCGAAAGTGGGTGAAGCATTGTGGCTAATGGGTTGGGTGCAGTATTAGCCTTTAATGACGATGTACAAGAATTTATATTACTTTTTATTTTTTAACAGGATAAACATTTAGCAAAATATGAATTAAATGGTTTGAACACCTGTATGGGAGACCACAAGGTATTGTATTGTTTGATTTATATTATTTTTTCAAATTGTCATTCTTAAATAAATAGGTAAAGGTATTAATTATTGATTTACATTATAACAAATGAATAATTTGTGCATTTTTAGCCTGTCTCGTTGTATTTATTCGTTGCTGGCAACGAAATTTTTTCTCAAGATCCTCAAAGTAAGTTTCCAGTCCTTTTTTCTTTCTCTCTACTGTATAATCTACATATGATATAACTGTTGTCTCAAAACAATTAAAGGGTTTTAATTTTAAAATGGTAGTCAAGTGATAGATCCAGGAAGATTTTTTCAGGGGGGTGCTGGGCGAGCATCCAAGCACGCCTAAACCGAGCACGCCCATTGAGCTATAAATAAACTGGAAGGCTAACTGCTATGATGAAGGCCTATGATTTGATGAAGCCAAAATAGTTTTTCTGAGTTATGAGCAGAAATACTTGACCCCAAACGTCGGGCTATATATCAAATTAAAGCTATTGAAAATTGCTATTCGGTGTGGAAATTTGAAGACTTCAGAGAAAAGAAAAATATTTAAAAAATACAAAAACAACTGCAAAAAGGCAAATTATCGGTAATTATGTTTGTAGTTTTTCAATATTTCCCTTTTGGCTAAAGTCTTGAAATTTCTACACCAAATAGCGTTTTTCAATAGCTTCAATTTGATATATAGCCGAACGTTCAGTGTTGAGTATTTCCGCTCATAACTCAGAAAAACTAAAATACACTGGCTTCAATTTCCCCCCCCCCCTGAGTTAGCCTTCCAGTTTATTTATAGTTCAATGAGCCCGCCTGAACGACCAAGCACTGACCAGCAGCATGTTGTACATAATGAAACCACTGGTATTTTGAAATAGTGCGATGGTGCTGCCTTGGATTCCAAAACTTAAGTTAGTTTAATTAAGACTAATAACAAACTTTGAATACCTCAAACATTTAAAAGTAAAATAAATTTATTTTTTCACCCCCCCCCCCTGCACCCAATGCCAACAGGGGTGCGCCCTGTGCACCCCTCCTATATATCCACCACTGTAGTCTAGAGCTAGTCAGTTCCATAATACGATATGTTTGAACTTACCTATGCATGAAATTACAAAGAGTGAGTTAAAAAAGACAGTGTTTTCAGTAAGGCTCAGTAGCTATTGTATGTGTTTTGCTAATAGCATTATTGCTGAGAAATAGTGATGATCATGTTCTACTGAGTACTGTACATTATAGGCTCAATATTACAAATTACAATAACTCATTATTTGACATTAAGGAATTATTATTTTGCAGATGTTATTGATCCTGGAAATTCTTGTCTGATGCTGGAGACATCCGTATGACATATAAATAAACAATTAATTTTATATAATATGACATATTTAAGTTAAAGTATAGCGTGTATATATTTATAATTACAGTAATCAGTATGTAGTCTTAATTTAACCGTAGTATATATTAATTGGTTTTGGATAAAATCACTGAAGTACATGCAGAGAGCCCAGCTATGCCCATGGCTTATTATATCAATACAAGTATTCCATACATTTATATCATACTGCTCCGACAGTTGATTGCTAAAATTTGGCTGAACATGATGCACGCATAAATTGCGAGTCTGAGCGCTTTGATATAAATCAATAAATGTATGGAGAATATGTAAGGATATTTGTATTGATACAATAAGCGGCCTCCCTGTGATATCAGTGCATAAAGTGTAGACTAATTTGGGATTTACCATAAAATTGTGAATATGTAAATTATAACTCCTGATTCATCCTCGTCACTTGCTCTTCGCAGCGACCGTGGCCTGGTTATGGGCTTATCCGCTGGAGACAAGGATGTTAGTAATAACATTAATCAAAAGATCCCAGCCTCAGGATCAAAAACTTTGCAAAATAAATAGACATGTGTTTTTCGCAATAATTATTGCTACTATACTATCTCTATTATATTAATAATTTGTGTAAATTATTTAGGAAAAACTCTATACTTTTATAAACACTTAATTTCCATGTTCGTTTATTAATTAGAATAGTCATTTCTGTATTAAGCCTGTTTTCCACTAGGCGGAATTTTGCGCGCGGAGCGGAATTTTTCTTTGTCTTTTCTAATTAGTTCCACCCGAGAAATCACAAGACAAAGAAAAATTCCGTTCTGCGCTCAAAAAACCGGCTTTAGAGTTCACACAATCTTGATTGTGTTCAGCCAATCAGCAGTATCTTTCACACTTCAAAATGGGAGTAAAACGCTGGAAACGTCGACGTTTTACTTGTATTTTTCAGGTAGTTGGGTTATTTTGTTTTGCCGTTGCAGTTGATTTTATTTTGCCATGACTCAGACTATGTGCACACGGTAACGTTTCCGAGCGTTTTCATTTGTGTTTTCACGCTAAAACGGATACAAACACTATCAATTTACGACAGAAGTTGTAGTTTATTTAGTATATCCGAGATATTTTCCTTTGGGCTGTGCGAATACGGCGTCAAAACGATTTTACGGACAAAAACGTTTTTGAAAACGCCGTAAAACGACGCCCGTGTGCACATAGCCTCGGTTACTTTCACTTGTGGGACACATTAGGCCTAAATAAGCCGCGGCTTAAATAAGTCGCGAACGACTCGTATAAACAGTCAATTTGCAATAAGCCGCGGCTAATTTTATAGGCCTAGCTTTCAAGCCTGGGCTTATTTTAGCCGCGGCTTGCGAACAAATTCACTGTTTGTACGAGTCGTTCGCGACTTATGTAAGCCGCGGCTTATTTAGCCTATTTCGCTCGTATAAATGGCCCTATTATTTTACCGCCTGCTACGCAGGCTAATTTTACCCAAAACTCTTCCAAGCTTGGTGGGATTAACGGATCACTTCATTTAGCTAATCAGATTACGAGCTTTTGTGGATCGTAATCTGATTGGTTAAAATGAAGGCGGGCCAGAAAGTAGACGGGTACCTACAAAATGGCTAAATAGCTGGTATTCTGGCGTGAAACTTTGTAAACTTGTCAGATACATTTTAAATTTTTATAATTTAGATAAAAAGCATAAAACAGACTGCTAACTTTTTTAGTCGCAAATCAATTGATCTGTAAATTAGAAGATCTGTTTTATCCGAAGCCCGAAGGGTAAATTACAAATAAAATTTTTAAAAAGAAAAGTGCCCCAACAGTCCATAATTCCCGACTTTGCTAGCTTGTATCGGTCAAGTCCGTCTCGTGCTAACCGCTAGAACGCCGTATCGGTAACTACCACACACAAGTAAAAGTAACAGTTCCGTATATAAGTACGTTACAGTCAACCTCGTTCCCAGGCTCTTTGCTCTTTGCTTCCCAAGAGCAAAGAGCCTGGGAACGAGGTTGCGTTACAGTTGCCCGGTGTGGTACCAGTGGGACCATATACGCTTTAGCTAGGTGTTTACCGAATCTTTGAAATTAACGCATGCGCGATAATTGATACTCGAGTGGACGTAGCGCATGCGTGGGCATCATCCAATCAGGACGCACGAAAATTCGCGCCGGTCCCGCGAGTTCGAGACATGTGCGAGACGGCTCAGAGCCTCAGAATTGTACGTTACTTTAAACGATTCGAGGCGCAGTATGTTCGCTTTCTTGCCCGAATTTAAAAGCAAAATTGACGAAGAAATGTTGAATTCTCAAGCTGAAGTGAAACTCAAAGGTATCTATATTCTCTTTCATGTAAAATGTTCATAGTTTGACGAGTAAAAGTGCTTCAAACTACTTGTTGAAGTTGACGACCGCACTGAGCTAGTCGCTCGGCCAAATATGTCGCATTCGATTTCGTTGTCCTTGCCTAAATACTCTGAATTTATTAGCCTTGCTTTTCGCTCTCTTTAGGGTAATTTAGTATTAAAGCGTTTTGATAAAATATTCATGGTGTTTAGGAGCTAAACTTGTTTTAAAATGTTGCCGTTTTTAGTGTGAACAAGCCTGGATTCTTGACGACGTGGTGAAAGGGCGAAGTAAAATCGATGTCCGTATGACCGTATGGATTTTAATTAAACGGCATATTAAACAAGAAGTGTGGACGTTTCAAGGGAAAGTAAAAGACTTGACTGAGGTAATTACTTTATATTTCATTTAAAGCATAATCGCCGGCCGAGTAGATTGACTTTACGGCAAACGTCAAACTGCTAACGAAATGTTTGATTTCAGTTACTCTATTATTATAACAGCTTTTACACCAGTTTTGAAAAATATATTAATTAAACAATTATTAACTTGCGGTATTTAACAATGATTCAAGAAAACAAATTAACCACTAGTCATGTATTCACAAAGCAGTAAATTAAGTTTAAAATTAAGTTAATTAAATAAAATTTATACCGTACGCCAATCATTGCTAAAGAGCACAAGTTTAATAATTGTTTAATATATTTCAACACTGGTGTAGGTATAGGTAATAGCATGGTTTCGAGTGCAATTTGGATATAACATGCACAAGTGAGTTTTTCAAAGACCTCAAAATAGCACAAGTCCGAAGGACTCAATCCATCCCTGATAGAGTTGTAATATCAAACACTTTGTTAGCGGTTTGACATTTGCCATAAACGACAATCTAAAGGTCTCTAATATATATAGTTTCACATCAAGCCTGTAGCTGAGTGGGGGGCACCCCTATCCGGAAATAGGCACTGCTAAATTTTTCAACTGTGCCGTCTAGAAATAGAGAGCCAGCTACAGGGTTATTTCATGTGTCAAAATTGAAGACCGCAAGTTGCTTTGCCGACGAGATTCTTCCTGTACGTCCTGGCATAAGAATTAAAAACATTGGCATTGCATGCTTCTCGTTATATTCAGTTGAAATATTTACAGTGTTTCGTAGTTAAATTTGTTTTGAAATTTGTTGCTTCTGACAATTGTTTGTTTTTAACTTTCTTTAATTTTACCTTTAGATTGCAAGGATCAAAACAAAAATGTGCATCGTTGGAGCACCCAATATACCCCACACTGTGCTAGGCAGTCAAGCTTTTTTAACCTACACATTTTTTATTTTGATTGCCCATTTTTATTGTTTTTTTGTTCATATCATGACGCATGACTTTATATAATGACAGAAGGAGTTGAGAGCCCCACTCGACTGCATGCCTTCTGGTAATTGTTAGACTCTGTTTTACATGCTACCATTTCACCACATAGAATTATATTGAGATTTGAAACGGCAATTAAAGAGCCAATGCTGAGCAAGTATGAGTATGGAGCATATACATGGGCAGTGGCATTGCAACTTTATTATTTTTCCAAGGTCTCTGTGAGACTTCCAGTCATTCAGCATGAACAAGTAGTACATGTAAAAAGAAAGGCGCCGCTTTTTGGGTGTACTGTTCGTCCATGTTGAATGGCTGGAAGTGTTGCAGGTATCTTGGGATATCTAATACAGTTGCGATGTTATTTTCAGTGCTGTTGCTATACAGGGCAGCTTGCTATTGCTATATGCCTTAGCCAGAAAATGACAAGTACAGTTTATTATGAATATTACATGCCATATCATATTATACTGTACTTAGACTAAATTTTATTTTTAAATCAAGGTGTCAATTCTATAAGGGTGGCATCTACCGGTACTTTATAGTTTTCCTCATATTTAGTGTTTCTATACAAAGGTGCTATGCCTATATGCTTAAGCCTTCAAAACAGACTGTACAGTATTTCAAAAACCACTAAGATTCACTGCCTGTGAATGTGTCTGTTGTTGCACTCGGCGAACAACTATTTAAAATCTGTGAACTGCTAGACAAACCGGTAAATCTTCCTAAAAAGACAGTGTGTGTACCTTCCATAAAAATGTGAAGCAGTTTTACACATGTACATATGCAGTGGTTTTAAACTGCACGCAAGCCGGTTATACAGTTATTGTGGCAGAATGGTAGCTTGTAAATGGAGTATCTCAATAGGATTTGCACATTTAGTATTTACATATGCATTAGGTCTCTTAGGTTTTAGCTTAAGACCAACATGAGCGAGTGAGATAAACTCGACTAGCTTAGGTAAGGCATCAAGCGTGAAATCCATGCATTAGACCCCTCAGCATCGGACCCCAAACCTTTTTTCAATGCTAAATATGAAATTATCCCACCTTACCACATTGCTGAAGAATAATGGTGGATATCCTGGGCAAATGTGCATTACTAATTACCATGTTGGATATCTTGGGCAAATGTGCAATACCATGAGGGATATCTTGGGCAAATGTGCAATACAACAAGGGATATCTTAAAGGCAAATGTGCAATATCACTGCTGGATAAATTGGTTCATTACTTATAAGTTACATTACTGAGGAAAGAAGACGTCGTATATAAGGTTAGTGGATATTTACAATAATAAAGTGGGAAGGGTTCCCTGCGGCTCAAAGTAACGTTGTGTTTGCACGATAACAATACGACGGTGCAGTCAACAATATGGCAGATCCGGAATAATTTGTAACAATATGGCGGAGTAACAGTGATGTGCGCTTAAAACCTGCGTTCTTCTAAAAATTGTGAGTTGAACATCCAACAAAACAATGCTTCTGTAACTACATGTAAAAATTAAGGTTTTAGACATGAGTTTAGGAATTTTTTATTTTTTTATTTATGATTTTCTATAAATGGGGGCCCCTATTTGAGATATATAATAATGTCATAGATTGTAATAAATATTTTTGTAAAGTGTGCGGATAAGATAGTGTTTCAGTAATATAAATTATATATATAATATATTATTTTTTGTAAAATAGATTAGTTATGTGTATCTTTATAATATAATTGAAATTGTTCACTTGTGATATAATTGTAATATATTTGAATTGTAGACAAGAATTCCTGTAATAGAATATTATAATAAAGAATAAACAGGACATTTTTGTAATATATTTTAAATCATTTTTTTTTAATATATCATGTGATTCCAATATAAACAAAAAAGGTGTCCGTGATCGGGATTGAATCAAGTACTGCTGCTATTAAATTGCAAAAATTAGTATCCCAAGGCTTCAACTTTCCAGTGTTTGTCCAAAAGACTGTTGAAATAATTAAAATTATTGTTGAAATGAAAAATAAGACTTTGACAAAAAGATCCTTACCTTTATAAACATCAAAATTATGTTCTTTAATTTAACTAGTCAAAAATGGACCATCAACCAACAGGCATACATTACTCCTTCATTTCAGGAGAGGTTTTATAATGGTTATGACTCATTTGACCAACTATAAGGCGAGACTTTTTTTACTTATTGGTTTACCGATTTGACTTTAAAAAAACAGGTCAGTAGGTCGGGAAAATGTTTTTTTTAAACACACTGAGTATAAATGGGAACGAAATGTAAAAACCTCATCTTGATCAACTTTTTCACTGTCAAAGAAACAAAGGAAAATTAATTTGCAATTCACCTAATGATATCATATCCGCAAACTTTGAAGTGAAAAAGTTGATCAAGATGGGATTTTTTATTATTAAGATATAGTACATTTCTTCTTCGATTGACCAAAATATTACACATACAATAAAAAAAATCATATTTGGGGTTAGTCACACTTTAATAATCTCTATTAGTATTAGAGTTTTTAACGTTAAAGGGCATATGACTCGAGAATTGACGGTGTTATATTTTAATCTAATTGGAAAGATAATTGAAAACTGTAGAGTAACTTCTTTGCCAGATTTTTGTTTTCTTGCTTCGTTTTGGAGATATTTCATTTTGTATGATATGCAAAGGACCAACTTCCTACGTCACACATGCATAATGACTTACTTTAAAATGTTATATAATTTTGTCACTATCAAATAAATTCGCTCAAAATGAATGATGAGCACGAGATTTGTCCACAACAACACCCATCTATAGGTTTTCTAATGATTTCGTTTAGTCGTATTAAAGATATACAGCTCTTAGAGCTAAATCATTATGCATATGTGACGTAGAAAGTTGGTCCTTTGCATATCATACGATATGAAATATCTTCAAAACGAAGCAAGAAAACAAAAATCTGTCAAAGAAGTTACTCTACAGTTTGCAATGATCTTTCCAATTAGACTAAAAAATAACACCGTCACTTTTCGAGTCATATGCCCTTTAACTTGGGGTCTAGACGTCTACTTGGTATGTACTTTATCAGTTTATATTTTAGTCAGAAGTCAGAACCCCAAATTAACAAATCGTTGCAAACAACTTTTATTTTTCACTTTCTGACTGATATTTACGGTCGACGGATCCGTAAACCAATGAATAAAAAAAGTCATGGTTCAGTTTTTTCCATTGTTCCCTCATGAGAACTGTAGCAGTACTTTTTCATTTCTGGGTTAAATTCCCAGAACACTTTCCCATAATAAGGTTTTGATCTATAGATTCGAATCGCATGTATAATCATCGAAGGTAATGTGTAACATTTGGAACTTTATGCCAGAGCTGTGAAAGATTTCTGGTAAAACAGGCATTTTAGACTGCACTAATTGGCGAAATCCCTCATTCCAAGCAACTTTTTAATATTTTAAAGCTGGCTCAAAATGGCGAAAAAGAAAAGGCTATAACCATTTATATTTCGTCCATTTTCAGCCACTTTTTCCATTTTCGAAAATATGGGGCAAAAAAAACAAAGTCAATATATACCCTTTACTTTTCGATTCCTGAAAAAAAGGGCTAAAGAAACGAGCAATATGTAAAGGCAAACCCTTAACCTTCGCCCTTCGGTCGATTTTTAGTTTCGATTCTTGAAAAAGGGGGGGGGGGGGAGTGAAGGCTATAACCCTTAACTTTTCATCCGTTTCTAGCCACTTTTTCACGGGTTCTTAAAAAAAGGCCAAAAAAGCAAAGCCTTAGGCCTTAAGGCTGATTTCCACTGTTGCGTTTTTCATACGTAGGTATGCGTAAAACTTTAAATCCGTTTAAATGTTACTTATGAAATAACCAAATAAATAAAGCAACAGAATTTAGTGTTCTGCAAGTTTTAGTATGCATTTGTTAACTTATTTGTAAAATATTTAAAAAATAGAAGGATTCAAAGTTTTACGTGCGTGTACGTGCGTAAGAAAAACGCAACAGTGAAAATCAGCCTTTATAGGCTTAGGCTATATATATAGCCTTACTTTTTAGCTGTTCTGTTTCCTCTTAAAAATTATCCCTAAATATTGATAAAACAAATTTTGTGCTTTTTCATCCAACCCAGCGGATACACAACTACGAGATTTCATTATTGATCAGAAGTAACCGAATTAAACAAGAACAGTATATTAAGTATTTAGGAATTAGATCTACTCGATTCAAACTTAAGTTGGCAATACCTTATTTCACATTTGGCAAAAAAAAATTAAACGCTGCATGTATTGGTATTATCTCAAAAATTCGCTACTTCGTTGGTACAGAAATACTCCAACAATTATACTATACATTGACTTATCCATATCTAACATATGCTTTAACGGTATGGGGTAATACATATGCATCTAACCTAAACGTTTTAACTTTTATTACAAAAAAAAGTATAATTGTTTTTGTTTGTGGAAACACCACGTAAATTTATTACTGCACATTACATATTGCATATTACATTCAAAGAACTTAAAAAAAAAGTAGTAAGAATTATAACATTTTCTAGCTTCAAAAATCATACCTCTCCACTTTTTAAGCACCTCAACATACTTAAGTTTCCTGACTTGATATATTATCAAAATGCTCTATTTATGTTTGATTTTCACACCGGCAATTTACCAAATACATTTGATAATTTCTTTAAATATGTTACTGAGGTGCATAATTACAATACGAGGTCTTCTGCTAAACAGCTCTTATACCTTCCAAAAGTTCGGATAAATTATGGCAAGTTTAACATACGTTATTGTGGCAGCATAATCTGGAATTCTATTGATAAGGAAATAAAATCTATAAAAAGATATAAATTTAAGACGTCATCAAAAAAATCACTCCATCAATCGTACCTTTGACGAATCTGGTTTTGCAGACATCTTTGATGATACAATATTTATAGTTCCATGTAAATAACTTAATATTTCTGTGTGTGTCGTCTTTTTTTGTCTCCTATGATAACGTTTTCGTCCATTTTTACCAACTTTTTCATTCTTCATAAATGACCAAAAAACAGCAAAAATGTAAGGCTATATATAGCCTTTACTTTTCGACCATTTTTAGCGACTTTTCTCATTTATCATAAATGGAAAAAAAACAGCAAAAAAGTAAGGCTATAGCCTTTACTTTTTGTCCATTATTAGCGACTTTTCTCATTTTTCATAAATGGAAAAAACACACCAAAAAAGTACGCCTTTACTTTTTGTCCATTTTTAGCGATATTTTCATTTTTCATAAATGGCAAAAAACAGTCCATTTTTAGCGATTTTTTCATTTTTCATAAATGGCCAAAAAATAGTAAAAAAGAAAGGCTATAGCCTTTACTTTTCGTCCATTTTTAGCGACTTTTTCATTTTTCACAGCCTTTACTTTTCGTCCATTTTTAGCCATTTTTTCATTTTTCATAAATGACAAAAAAACCCAAAAAAGTAAGGCAATAGCCTTTACTTTTCGTCCATTTTTACGATTTTTTCATTTTTTATAAATGGAAAAAAAAACAGTAAAAAAGTAAGGCTATAGCCTTTCCTTTTTGGCCATTTTTAGCGACTTTTCTCAGTTCACATAAATGACAAAAAAAAACAGCAAAAAAGTAAGGCAATAGCCTTTACTTTTCGTCCATTTTTACGATTTTTTCATTTTTTATAAATGGCCAAAAAACAGTAAAAAAGAAAGGCTATAGCCTTTACTTTTCGTCCATTTTTACGATTTTTTCATTTTTTATAAATGGCCAAAAAAACAGTAAAAAAGAAAGGCTATAGCCTTTACTTTTCGTCCATTTTTAGCGATTTTTTCATTTTTCATAAATGGCCAAAAAATAGTAAAAAAGAAAGGCTATAGCCTTTACTTTTCGTCCATTTTTAGCGACTTTTTCATTTTTCACAGCCTTTACTTTTCGTCCATTTTTAGCCATTTTTTCATTTCTCATAAATGGCCAAAAAAAAAAAAAGTAAGGCAATAGCCTTTACTTTTCGTCCATTTTTACGATTTTTTCATTTTTTATAAATGGAAAAAAACCAGTAAAAAAGTAAGGCTATAGCCTTTACTTTTCGTCCATTTTTACGATTTTTTCATTTTTTATAAATGGCCAAAAAACAGTAAAAAAGAAAGTCCATTTTTTAGCGACTTTTCTCATTTTTCATAAATAGGGAAAAAACAGCAAAAATGTAAGGCTATAGCCTTTACTTTTCGTCCATTTTTAGCGACTTTTCTCATTTTTCATGAATAGGGAAAAAACAGCAAAAATGTAAGGCTATAGCCTTTACTTTTCGTCCATTTTTAGCGACTTTTCTCATTTTTCACAGCCTTTACTTTTCGTCCATTTTTAGCGATTTTTTCACTTCTCATAAATGACCAAAAAAACAGCAAAAAAGAAAGGCTATAGCCTTTACTTTTCGTCCATTTTTACGATTTTTTCATTTTTTATAAATGGCCAAAAAAAACAGTAAAAAAGTAAGGCTATAGCCTTTACTTTTCGCCATTTTTAGCGATTTTTTCATTTTTCATAAATGGCCAAAAAATAGTAAAAAAGAAAGGCTATAGCCTTTACTTTTTGTCCATTTTTAGCGACTTTTCTCAGTTCACATAAATGACCAAAAAAACCCAAAAAAGTAAGGCT